ATAAGTTTTGTTGCACTTGAGAGCAGTAATACCTAAATTATTGCAATTCTTTGTGTAGGTATTCGTAGAGATTACCAATTCTGGTCTCTACAATCCAAAGACAAATTATTACGTGGAAACTCCCTTATCACCGATTTCTTGCTGCCTCTAACCCCTACAATGAAACAAAGAATCCTCCATGTTCTAGGCAGGAACCCCCCACAAATGCTCGCAAAGCTTCAACAGTTATGAGTCGCAGCTATGATCATCATTTGCACCAAATTTTGTTGCAGATATTTAAATTCATCATAACACCAATCAAAAGTTCATCCATATTTAAAAACCTGAATATAAAGTGATATTATACAACTGCATTTGTCATGCTCTGAACAACTTTTGTGTAATTCTTTAAATTATGGACACACTCGCTAAGGACAGTCCCCAACTCGCCATCGCAAACTTTATTCAACAGTCTAAATTGCTGTGACTGGGAGTGCCCTCCAAGCACTCCCTCGGGGGGGGAAGTTGAAGGGAGCACTGCCCTCACCCCAACATCCCCCAGGAAAACATTGTTTTCACCTTGTCTACATAGCAAGCTAGAGCTGAAACCTGGAAGGACCTAGTGGACTTTGACCTTTGTCCTATATTTGTGGTGTTAACATTGTTTGCTGATCATTTGCTCTAATGACTACAACTTTGTGTTCTACAAGAATCTCGCCTCAATTTCCCCTACCTTAGTGTGTCCATACTGTAAAGATTAACCCAACTTGGGATTTCTAGTTTCATCGCAGGAGGCACTGCCCCCTGCGTTAGATAATAAGGTAACCGATTTTGTACTTATATTTTACCCTGCAACTTCTATGGTACCTGCTATTGAGCCAAGAATGTGAGGGTTCTATGCAATCATTTTTATATATTTGGGTAGTATTGAGAGAAATCCACTGTTACCAAAATTGTGGCAATTCATAGTGGTATTATTGTTTAAAATTACCCATAGTGATTTTTAGTTACTCTTGGACACCCTTGCCAATATAATTTTACTAGTCTGATTTCTTTAGTCGGGTGTTCTTAATCTTACATTTGCTATCAATGGATTACATGTGATGCCTTGTCTTCATATGTAACAAAAGTATTGATACAAAATCAGTAGTATTAGGAAATAGAGAGGATAGATGAACCTCACCTTCTGCAAAATTCTTGACTAGTGGCAAGATTGGAGCCTAAATAGGTCTTGTTTTATTGTACTTAATTCAAACCAAGTTGCTCATGATGATCAGAGTGTTAAAGTATGCAGGTATATTACCAAGAGTGATGCACTCTCAGATGGTCCCATAACCAGGATATTAAGTGAACCCAAAAAATCTTAACTAGATGTTTGCTTTGGAGATCAGGAGAATTATTTGTCGGCATAACTTTCTGTATTGCAGGTTATAAACCTCACTATTTTGTGCACATTTCATACAACTATGTAGGGAGGTAGACACAAGCACTTGATACTTTTTACCAATTTAGTCTAGGCCATAGGCCAGTTTTGTGAAAATTCTGTTATAGATGTACAGAAGCTGAACTTCATCTTTGTTTATTTGCTATATCATTTTAAAATGTCAAGAACAAAAATGGCCTCTATAGCATATTTTTAAATTTATTTTTATTGATTTATACTTTTAATTAGTTTTTTTTTTTTGGGGGGGGGGTCACTATTAGTAAGGCAGGCTTGGTGGCTATGATTGCACTTGCAATGAAAAATTTTGAAGAATGGATTTTCTGCAAACCTTTATATTTTGTTCATCCTCACTTCAAATATTTTTTTCCACAAAAACATTGGATATGTGAAAACTTCTTTGCCACATCTTAGCACCTACTTTATTGTATTATTGGGTTGCAGTGCTATAGCTTTCACAACCTGTCAAGTTGATACCCTCTTCATTTTTAATATTTCTGACATGGTACCTATTTTTGGTAAGTTTGATCTTTAACCCAGCATGATAGGATATTCCCTTGCAGTCCAACATATCCATGCTTATTGCAATTGCCAGCAACAAGAGCATGTAAATTCCTGAGAGTTGGTGTTGCTGTGTGCCGTTATGCCAAAAGAATAATTTATTTATAAGGCTATTCCTGTTGCCTAAAACTATGCACAAGGGTTGTCATATTTAGAAGCTTTTGAAAATATTGTAAGTACTTGCTCAATTTGATTTTTCCTTTTTTCAGGCAAAATGGCAATTCAACCACTTAAAAAGCCAAGGATTATCAAAAAGCGGACAAAGCGGTTCATCCGCCATCAGAGCGACCGCTTCGTCAAAGTAAAGGTATGAACAATTCTTACTTTTCAGTACAGCAGCATTGTAATATTGAGAGCCCAAATTTTGGATTTTGGAACCATTGCATGTTCCAGTTGAATTTTTATGATGAAAACCTAGGCTAGAGTTCTTAAACCATAGTTGTTGGTTTTGATGATACTTTTTATATAATCTGATGTGTACAAATTCAGTTGAAATCCTATATCTTAATCAAGAGGCTTAAACTAATGAAAGATATTTTTTAGGCCAACTGGAGGAAGCCCAAGGGTATTGATAACCGTGTGAGGCGTCGCTTCAAGGGCCAGTATCTTATGCCCAACATTGGTTATGGTTCAGCCAAGAGGACCAAACACATGCTCCCTAATGGTTTCAAGAAGGTTCTGATCCACAATGTCCGCGTAAGTATGAAAGTCATTGTCATGACAATATAATTTTCCCACTAATTTTGATTGGTATTGCACTGAGATAGTTATATCCATTATCGTGGTTACAAATGGTTCCCTTAACTATGACAAATGATCTTATTTTACAGGAGTTGGAAGTTTTGATGATGCAGCACCGCACCTTCTGCGGAGAAATTGCCCATGGTGTTTCCTCCAGGAAGCGCAAGGAAATTGTTGAGAGGGCCAACCAGCTCTCAATCCGCCTCACCAACGGGTCTGCAAGACTGCGCACTGAGGAATCCACGTAGATCAATAAATTGTGGTTGTAATTGTTGTATTATTTGTAACCCAAGAATTTCTGATTGTCCTTATAATTTCATTAACTTAAGCCAAAGCATTTTAATGGGCCAAGTTGTTAGATAAATTTTTGCCCACCCAACAGATGGTGTATGAAGCAGCACAGCTGGTAAAATTAAAATACTTGTGGGGTGGGGGGTATAAATAATACTGGATACACTATCTAAGCATTGTACTGCAAACTTAACTTTTGAATTTGTTAAAACTTAACTAGTTAACGATTTGCATATATATATTTCCATGTTCTTAGATGTCAGAAACTATCTTGTATTGACTTGTGTAGACTGCAAAGCTGAATGGTTTATCTGCTATCAACCAGACACTGGGAAAGGTAGATCAGGGTGTTGAAAAAAAATTAAAATATTTCAATACCTATTGTGGGCCAGATGACTGTATTGTCACCATTTTAGTAAAATGGCAGAATATATGTTTAATTCTGTGCTGAAAGCTATAAAAGCGTTTATTCCTTTACCTTAGACTCCTACAGTAGATAAGTGAAAATACCACAATTTATACTTGTTGAAGACAAAAGGTACAATGTCACCAGCACAATTTCTTGTACAGCCCCCTCTCAAAACCTAGCTCTTTGTCGTGGGAGGGCTTAGAAGATGGACCGAGACACAATGTATAGGATTACCCCAACCTGGGCCTCAGCCCTTGCCTCAACTAATTTTGCTTGGTCTTTCCTTTCCTATTCTGTATCTTTATTCCCTTCTATCCCATTCCTAAGGCGAGAGCTGTGCTGAAAGGATGGAAGGCTGGCTTTGTCAGTCATGAACTGCCTCTGGGAGCTATGGGCATGGTATTCCCTTGGTTAATTACCTAGTGCTTACCCCTTAAATTTAATTTTTTTGGCATAATACTCATCATAATGCTGCATGACCTTTGATGTCTGGCACAAATGTTTTGACCAGTAACCATCCTAGGAGTCAATAAGCATTGCCTTATGAACATAAAAAAAAAATCCCTAATGGGGCTTCACCTCCATGCCACGCCCAATTACTATATTTTGAAACCGCGACTAAGCCTGTTAATGCGGCAGAAAGTCATTTGGATACCAATGGTGAGCTAATTCTGAGTACTACCTATTTCCCGTTTACCCTCTTCCTCGACTTACAAAAATAATTATTGGCATCTTGTATTGCTGACACCATGATAATTAATCTTAAAGAAAATAAATATAAAATTGCCATTCCCTCTTTACCCTTTTCACTAGCATACTAACTTGAAGCACTACAAGCTTTGATAACTGTCCTGATTTTTAACCTTTTTGCCATAATACTCTATTACAGAGCTGCATGATCTTTCCTTTTGTTCTCTAAGCTTCACCCTATTGCTAAATCAAGAATGTGGCCAATGACCTTAGATGTTGACATGACAAAGTTTGCAATAAATAATTGTGTATTAATGAAACGGTAAATGATCTACAGGCTTCATTTCATACCAATATAAAGTGGAGTTGCAACAATGGTCATCACTGTAGTTTAGTTGTCCAACACATTGCCACTTACAGTCCCACTTTTCAAACTTTTAACTTCTGACTCCCTAGCATCAGCCAATTATAATTATCTTATTTACATAATTTTAGTAAGTAGGAAAAATTGGACTTTATTTCACAAAATGTGAAAATATTCCTTTGCTTTATAATTTTAGTATTAATAAAACAAATTGGTCTAAAATTTCCTCGAGGCTTTGCAACCCCCCCCCCCCTTGATAACTCTGACCCACTGGTTGGGAACTAATAATGTCGGTGCAAAGACTGGGCTTACATGTCACATCATCACATAGGTACACTCAAACTATTGTTTAGGGGCAATATTGCACATTAATTTTCAAAGCACTATAGTACACATTCGTAGCCCATTTCATCCACTAACTGCTTTCATGAGTATATATGGGGGCCTCTCTGTAGGTAGAAAATTCCCTGCAAATTATAGAAGGATCCTTGGGTGCCTAAAATTTGGTGAGTAAATCCAGTGCAACAATTTGTTGTAAAAGTTTATTATTGTCACAAGAATTGAGAGAACATTTTCAAAAGTATAAATACCACTCCTCTTTCCTAAGACCAGGTTACAGAATGTCAGCTAAAAATGAACAAAATACTTGTTACCTGTAATTATTGTCGTTTTTGTGTGTGTGAGAGATATAAATGCATATATGTATGTATATGTATATACATACAAAAAAAAAAACAGCAATTTAACTTCGAATGGTTAAGTGTCACAGCTACATCACACACAAATAAGAATTACACAACACAAAAATCTGTAGTACCAAATAAGTCAACATTTGAAGGCCAGCTTTTATCATAAAGTGTTACACATATTAACAGTCTGTGAGTACAAGTAGCAGAATAACTTGACAATGGATTATGATACTCTATTATATACTTTGATGTTTATTCATGAAATAAACAGTTTGAAATTGTACATTTTTACAAACTGGTTGATGTAAGGCTAACCCAATGCTGATGGGAAAATACTGCATTCACTTTGGTATTGCTTTGTTAAATGTTTATGTATATAGATGGCTCTGCCAGTGCTAGGTCACAAAGGAGTCAATTAGATGTGACCTCACCTTTCCTTGAAATAGCAGGAAAATTATTTTTTAACAATGCTATCAGTATCAACACATTTTTGTTAACATTATAATTACTATATTGTTATTGACATTACTAACAGCAGTATTAAATACTCAAAAATATTATCGAAAATGACGGAAAAGAGTAAACAGGTGAGACAGGAAGTTCTTGTAATTGGCTCATTGGTGGAGCCATCTATATATAAAAACAATTACTAAATTAAACACAGAGGGCATGGCAAGTATGCACATGCCATAGCCGGTGGCAAGTGGTTAAGTGGTTAACATATACAATACATGGAACTTCTTAACCATTTTTGGGGGTCTGTTGATTATCAGACAAAATGATACTTTAATATATGCCTAAACTTATGCAATATGAAAGTAACAAATATATATATATATATAAATATTATTCACAAAATTAGTTCTTCTCTGTCCTGGATAAGACATGTGATAACATTTTTACCTACTACTTACTCTATATTATAGGAAATCTTATTGTTAAAAGTATACCTAAACCAGAGTTAACTTTCTCGAAATTCAATAAGTTTTTGATGTAACAAATTAAAGTCTGCTCTGTGTTTCATCAAAAATTGGCCTTCAAAGTGAAAGACTGGGATTTCATACTTATACAAATTAAACCATTTTTCATTGCCTGGTGCAGTTATATCCACCTCAACAAGTTTAAACTGGTCTCTCAGTGGTTCTAAAACCTGCAAGGATAAAATATTACTTGAAATACAGCAAGGATAAAACAGTCTATACTCGAGTTTAAAAACTTCAGAAAAATTGCTGTAATGAATTACTACAGTTATCATCTTGGTGAAATATTCAAAGAAAACTTTGGAAAAGAGTCAGTGTGATATCCACATGACCATATACATATATATGGGGTACTTTAACCTCATTGCTTGCGGATGGATTAATGAACATGCATGCACACATGGAAATGAATTAATTAATATATGTATATATGCATAAATATGTGTGTGTGTGCATATGCATGTGCGTGTGTGTATGTATGTATGTGTGTATGTGTGTGTATGTGTGTGTATGTATGTATGTATGTATGTATGTATGTGTGTGTGTGTGTGTGTGTGTGTGTGTGTGTGTGTGTGTGTGTGTGTGTGTGTGTGTGTGTGTGTGTGTGTGTGTGTGTGTGTGTGTGTGTGTGTGTGTGTGTGTGTGTGTGTGTGTGTGTGTGTATGTGTGTGTGTGTGTGTGTGTGTGTGTGTGTGTGTGTGTGTGTGTGTGTGTGTGTGTGTGTGTGTGTGTGTGTGTGTGTGTGTGTGTGTGTACATACATAAAGCATATATTCTCACTTACCTCAAGTGCAACGTCACAAAGAGGACAAGGGTTTTTCGTAAACAGGGTCACAGTTGGCTTACTTGAAGATTTGGGATGATGCCTGTTTGAGATGTAACAAGGGTTCAAGTTGTCTCTTTCGAATATACTAGGACTGTATCCTATACATGTACACAGGCAAGCAAGCACACATACACACACACACACACACACACACACACACACACACACACACACACACACACACACACACACACACACACACACACACACACACACACACACACACACTCACTCACTCACTCACTCACTCACTCACTCACTCACTCACTCACTCACTCACTCACTCACTCACTCACACACACACACACACACACACACACACACACACACACACACACACACACACACACACACACACACACACACACACACACACATACACACACATACACACACAAAGCACAAAGCACAAAGCACATACAACACACATGCATGCACACACAATACACATGCACATACCAGAATACACACACATGCACAATACACACACACATACACACCTGCACATACCACCCTACACAAGCACACACCACATCACACATACACCATATCATGCACCACAACACACACAAACAAGTACACACCTCAACACCAAACATCCATATACCTCAAAACACACACACACCAGGTGTGTAATCACATTCATTTACATTTCTACCCGTGAATAGACAAAACTGGGGGGAAAATCGAGCTGATAAAACATCTTAGTGAGAAGTACTTTTCAAAATTCTTCTAAAGAGAGGGCACCCTTGCACATGTGGATTATCTATAACTAGGAAATAAAAAATTATAAAACAATGAAGGTCAATGGCACCATGGCTGTTTTTATGGCTGGGCAACCATGATGGCAGCCCTCTTACTATCTGTTTCACTCTTACACTTAAGTCATCCATTCACTCACTCTATAAATGAGAAAAGAAACTAAATTCTTTTTAAAAGGAAACATGGATCCTTTTTTTTTTAATCATACAAAGTATAAAAGTATGAGAAAGAAAATTCATGTACACCAATTTCCAATCACAGACATGAAATCTTTGAATAAATAAGTTTCTTGAATCAGAAACTAATCTTGTGATAAACAATAAGGTTAATAAAGTTCACCTTATAGAAAATAATTTTATTACATCTATCCTTAAATTCAAAATTCACTTTCCCTGATTATTACACACAATTATCGTCCCTATATTAATATTTCACATTACAAATCTATACATCTCTAACTTTTTGATTCAGTAACAACTACAGTTTTATAACTAGTCCAGATCTTTCTGCCACAAATTATGCAACTAATTGTCAACCATCAGCTGCCTAATCCTTTAAGTCAAGGTTAAAAAAGATGCCCCATACGTAGTTAAAGAGTATTCCGGGAAGGTCCATGACACACTTACAGCTTCTCAATCATGATAGCAGATGCCCCTCCTCCACCATTACAAATTGAAGCAACACCTTTCTGGCCTGGCTTCAAAGCATGTGCCAGGTGGACAACGATACGAGCTCCAGACATGCTGGAATAGAAATGCAAAAATAGATATTGGAATAATTATATCTACATTTTTTTTCTGAATAGTCCTCTTGTATGAATTTGACAAGAAAAAATTACAATAATAGATATGAATCTACAAAGAGAATAATGTCAGACTAAAAATCACAGTAACAAGCAGGAATTTATACTGAGAAAATGACAATCTAAAAATCAAGAAATTGTTTCATAGGGTATCAGTTTCATGAGCAGCAATAAAAAATAAAAGATTTATCATTGCTCAAAATATATGCCATATCTCAAAATCAAAATGGCTCTATTACAAATAAAGGTCTTTCAACAAATACAAATAATAGCATCTATATGGGAATTTTAACCATTTACGATATATGAGACACCAGGAAAAATAAACATTGCCAGTGTGATGTTAGATCAGAGCTTGCGCTCCGATTCCGGGCTAGCCCCACACGCCACACTATCATTTTCGGCTTCAAAATATACCCGCGTTAGTGGGTTAACAAATATTTTTTACAATTACTTAGTGAAAAAAATTATGTCAAAATGTCATTTCACATAAAACAATTAAACAAAACAAACCATCTCAATTATGAAGTTGATGAGGTTAGTCAAGATTTTATAGGAAATAATGAGGGATCCAAACATTTCAGAGAAAGCAATTAGTAAAATATAAATGAGTTATTCCTTCATAAAGAGAGATGCCTAGACCTAACCTGTGTGTTGTGATGTGTGTATGTATACTATAAATAATAGAAAAAATATGTACTGTGCAGGAGAAAAAACAAGAAACAAAAAAATATCACAGTTGCACTTACCCAATGGGATGACCTAGTGAGACTGCCCCTCCATGGATATTGACTTTAGATGGGTCAAGGTCACACAATTTGATGTTGGCCAAAACTACCACAGAGAAAGCTTCATTGACTTCCCACATTGCAACATCATCTGATTTCACACCAGTCATTTCCAGTAGCTGAAATGAATGACAAATGAAAAGGTCTTCTCTCTCTCACCAAAGGTACATGTGAGAAAAATATGGTGCAAAAGCTGTTTCAATTATTTTGATTACAACTGAAATAGCTACATTGAGTAATCCACTAACAGCTTATCAAGAATTCCATTATCAGTGAACAGACGCCTTCAACTGGATTTCTGCTCATTAAAAAATGCAGTACAAACATAACAGAAACCTTTGGTGTTGCAAGGGCTGGGGCAATAGGGAAGTCGATAGGATCAGTGGCAGCATCACAGAATCCTACAACTCGGGCAAGAGGCTTCACGCCATGTTGAGCTGCAGCTTTGGCAGTCATTAGCAGACATGCAGCTGCTCCATCATTTAGAGTAGATGCATTTCCGGCAGTGACTGTGCCTCCTTCACGCTGAAAGATTAATGCCTCTGCTCATTTATTTTGAATTATTATTATATTTCATACTATGTAACGTGTAATTATTCAACAATCCGTCTAAAATCATTATTTAGTTTCTTGAATTAAAGGATCAAAAAAAAACTATTCATATATATTACAAAAAACATTTTTCATAGTCCTGAATACATTCCTCATACAGTATCTACATCATATCCAAAACAAGAAGAAATTTACCTGGAAAACAGTAGCAAGTTTCTTAAACTTATCGAAGTTGACCTTCTTATACTCTTCATCTTCCTTGAAAACAATATCAGGTTTCCCTCGTTTGCCTGGGATGGTGACCTCTACCATCTCGTCTCTGATGGCTCCACTTGCCCACGCTTCAGCAGATCGTTTGTAGCTCAGCATACCTGTAGCATTGTTGTAACATTGATTATGAAGTATACCCATATCAAAGGTATCTGATCATGCAAATTATATAGATATTGAGAAACATTATCATTATCATAATTATAAGAACAATGGTAATAACAAGAGCAACAACAATAAAAAGACAAAACATTAATGAAAATTGTTCTCATTCCAATTATCAATGATCAGCAGATAAGATAATTAATAAAAGTTTCAAAACAATAACAATACACATACAATAAGTACAGATCAAAACATCACAAAATAATATAACTCACAAAAATGAAGATAACTAAAATGAAAAAGCAGACAAATGAACACACCATACTCATCCTGTTCATCGCGTGTAATATTCAGCTTCTTTGCCGTGTTCTCCCCACAGTTGCCCATGTGGAATTTGTTATAGACATCTGTGAGGCCATCATACACAATGCCATCCTGGAAGATATGTGGCCATATATGTTGTTTATTATCAGATTCAACTCCCTTTTGTAATGTTGTGCAAGAGCAAGTTATTTTGAGTTTACTATGCTTTTAAGGTATAAAGAGAGTAATCATATGGTCTTGTAATACCATAAAACCTAAATCAAGCGAGAGTTTTTCTTTAAACAAATGTATGAGAAAACAAGGAAATTAAGAGAACTATAAACATACAGAGTCTGAGTACAAAATATACACAAAACAAGTACAAAAATGACAAGAAAACAAAAATAAAATCATAAATTCAAGAACAAAATGAACAAGAATGAATAAATCAGTCACCAGAAAGATTTTCCCATTATCTTCCATGACAACTACACAAACCATCTTACATGAAGTTTGACTCCTCCATAGGGTGAATCGCCTCTCATCATGTAATATGGGACATTTGACATGCTCTCCATACCACCAGCCACCATGACTTCCTGTGACCCACACATAAGAGACTGTGATGCCATCATTATGGACTTCATTCCTGAGGCACACACCTGGGGGGATAGAGAAAAAATAAATGAGTAGAGAAAAAGAATATAATTTCCTTTCTACTTAACATTTAATCATGTGGTACTATTCGCTATCTAAACATCCATTTAATATTGACAGATTTACATATTCAACTGGAAGGATACTAATAACATTAACTATACCATTATTAGTGGCTCAAAGAAAAAAGTGAATGAGTCAACGAAAAGGCTGATTTTTTAAAAGCTGTAAAAACCCACCCCATTAAAGGAATCACATATCAAATTGCATAACAACCCGTTTTTGTCTTCTACACATCAAAGTTGTGCATTTTACCAAAGGTATCAGCAAAGGACTAAATTCCAGTGCCAGTCAATTTGGTTCCTTTCTTTTGTTGTAAGAAACATATTCTTTATCAAGTGTGTTATAATGCAATCAGTATACAGTCCATTACCTTACAAGTGATTTTAATGGAATGCAATGCAATTTCATTACGAGGAAGGCCATTATATGCAATAGATTTTTTTTTTTTATTATATAAAATTTAGAGGAGCCAAATACAAAGCAAAAAGAAATTCAGTCAGACTGAAAAAAATGATAGTATAATATTACCTTTGCTCCCACTTTATCCATCTTTAGATAACTTTTAATAAACTCAAACCTCTCACCTTGTTGATAGTTGTACAGGGAGTGCTCTTGTCGAGACCTGCAAAGAGTGCAGCTTGTCGAGTGGGTGCCTGCTTTGCCCCAGCTTGGCATACATTGCCCATGTACACCTACAGAGAAGTGACAAAATTATTAACCCAATCCTGTAATTTTTCTTATCATAATACACAAGTAAAAATATATTGTTTCAGGGTAAAATGTACATTTTTAAAAGGAGAATATGTCTAATGTTGTTTATTTTCTTGTTCATTCTTTATACTTTTGTCAAGAAAGAAAGTTTTGCTGAGTGATGGTATTATAATGCAGTATGAAAGGGCACTAATTTGTGCTCTAGAAACAGTTTTAAACAAGAGATCAGCAAGACTAAGATGACTTTCAACAGACCAGATTGAATATGAAAAATGAGAGGAAAAGCTGAAGACTTACATAGCACAATGTTTAGTATTATATCTACATCCAGCTGTCTGTTAATACCTAAAGTTTTTTAACTTCAATTATAAAACAATGACATTTTTTCTTTACCTAAATAGGTGTAAATATATATTATCCTGCTACTTACCTCCTGCACAGCTTTAGGATCCACTCCTGCTCGCTCTACGGCAGCCTTAATGGCAACTGTTCCAAGCGCTGGTGCCCCAAGCGATGATAGTGCTGATCTACAAGCAAATATTTTTACAATGAAGCCATATTTATGAAAATATAAACCTTTCTAGTAAAGCTAAGAAATTATGAGGTTAAGGAAAAGAAAAAAACATAACAAAACTGTAAAACTAAATAAGTAAATGGCATTGTTGAGGAAAAACAGTCTTAAGTAATAGTGTTTCTATTAGTTTCTTGATACATTTGATACAGTTCCAATCAGATATGCTACAAGCTATCAAACATATATATAGAAAAGAGTTTGCCAGAATTAAAAACTGCATGGCCTACAACGAGAAGTGCAGCAGAATTATAGGCAGTGTCTTGCACTCATTGTAGCCTCAGCTTCTGCTCTCCAGCAAAGGCTAACAAACTTCGACCAAATAGATTCTGGCAAGATAGAGCTTGGATTGTAAACTTATTGAACAACAAATTGCTTGGGAGGTCTACAGGTTCTATGTTGCTTCAATATTTTTTATGAAAGTTAGTTGGCCTCTTTTTCTGAATTTAGATATATTATGTTTTAAATTTTGGCTAATCTTTACAGTATGGACATACTTAGCTAGGGCAAATTGAAGACAATATCCTTATTGAGGACAAAAAATGGTAAGTGGTCAGTGGTCAGTACAAGAAATAATCTACCGACACAAACAATAGTGCCTTTAATACAAGGAAAAGATTGCAGTGCTCCCAAGTTTCAGCTTTCTCTCGCTGTGCATACCAGGGTGAAGACAATGATTCTTGGGGGATGTTGAGGGCTCTGCCTTTCCCTCCGGCAGTGTCCTAACAGTATACTCAATCACTTAAATTACTGAATAAATTTTGTGACTTGAAGTTAGGGACTTAGTCTCTGACAAGTATGCCTGTAATGTAAAGAATTACCTTAATTTTCTAATTTCATCTCAAAACAATCTCAGACAAGAGAAGAAATAAATACCTAGAGAGGTGGTATTAATATTAGTAAAAGGCTTTTTTTTCTTTTTTTTGTGTAACTCTGGGTTATATTACTTTATTCGGGCAACTGCACAATTATATAATTTCATCTATGTTTCAATACCCTACTCCACCTCTATCTCCCACAGCATATTTTCTAAATCAGAATAAAAGAATAAATGCATATTATTTCATTACATAATAACCATACAAACCAACATTACCTGAAAGAACCCATAGGTGTACGAACTGCGCTGACAATGACGACATCATTCAGACCTCCTGTGCTGTAGGAGCGAACCCCTTGCACGCCACTCTGTTGAATTAATTGCTATAAATGTAAAATTCTTTTGTACTAGTTTAAATTAATCACAGATGCATCTGGTTTCTCTTGAATACACTTCTGTTTATTATGACAGTTATCGAAAACGTCACTTGAATCTAGATACATCACTTACATTGTCTAAATCTGCTACTTATTTAGCGACAATGCAATAAATGTGAACTTTCTGCAATACGAACATAAATCCCAAAAACCATGGCACTTAATCACACAGGAAGCCGTCCCTATTCAACACCCGGTTCTGATGATCATATCACCTCATTTTTTCACATTAATCTCATTTCCTCTCCCCTCAGTGCTAAGCAAATGACTTCAAGCAATTCTTCTCGATAATCATGTTAAAATCATGCTCATCTGCCACAAATTACCTGATAAATTAGTCTGCACAACGCCATTCTCACGGTCTCCAAGCGCACTCGATCAGCTGTGCTAATGTTGCCAGATGCAGCCAGGAGCCGACACTGATGCCAGAATTCCGGCGAAAAAACGCACTCCTTTCTTTTGCATAAATGTGAATGTACTTCTACGGTTACTGTATCATCTATATATATATATATATATATATATATATATATATATATATATATATATATATATATATATATATATATATATATATATATATATATATATATATATATATATATATATATATATATATATATATATATATATATATACATATATATATATATATATATATATATATATATATATATATATATATATATATATATATATATCTAACTGGCTATTCATACATTTATTCATTATCTGTATTGACCAATCTACTTATCTATTCCAGTGTTTGCGTGCGCGCGCGTGTATGTATGTGCGTGTACGTATGTATGCGTCTGGTTTCTGTGTGTGTGTGTGTGTGTGTGTGTGTGTGTGTGTGTGTGTGTGTGTGTGTGTGTGTGTGTGTGTGTGTGTGTGTGTGTGTGTGTGTGTGTGTGTGTGTGTGTGCGTGAGTGTGCGTGTGTGCGTGCGTGTATGTATGTATGTATGTATGTATGTATATATGTATATGTATGTATGCATATGTATACATACATATACATATACTTATGTATAGATATATATAGATATATATACCTATATGTATACAAATATATGCATATATATATAAAATATATAAACATATGTACACACACACACACACACACACACACACACACACACACACACACACACACACACACACATTATATATATATATATATATATATATAATATATATATATAATATTAATCATCATTATCAAGTATCTAACTTCGACGGGGCGCATGGCAAGTCGCCAGGCAGCAGGCAGAGACTCTGCCCATCTCGAGCTCTTCACGACAGGTTTGATCGATCTGCCCAACTCCTCCACCAGAGCTGTCTCGAACAGAGATAACCGGTGGGCAGGATCATCCTGAGGAAAGCGAGCTAGGTGGCCGTATAGCCTGAGTTGGCGATCACGGATTGTGCAGGTAACAGGTCCTGTGCCAGTCTCACGGTGCAACCGTTTGTTGGACACATGGTCCAGCCAACAGTACCTCATGATCCGGCGCAAGGATCTATTAAAAAGTATCAAGGAACAAGATAATGTCCAGATTTCACTACCGTATAGCAAACTGACATTATCAGTGCCTTGAAAACGCGTAGCCTGGTCCTTCTGCACAGGTACCGGCATCTCCAAATACTCAGGCCAGTTCAAGCCAGGCCAATCCATCTGCTGACTTTCTGGTCTGACAGCCCAGAGTTATGAACTGCACTACCAAGTATGAAACTCTCTAAGACTTCAGTATCCTCGCCACAAGCACGTACCGACCGAACAGGTTCTCCTAGCAAGTCCCCAAAATTCTGTATCTTGGTCTTGGTCCAGGAGACATCTAGACCCAAATGCTTCGCTTCCTTAATAAATGCATCCTGAGCCACCACTAAGGTTAGCAAAGACTCAGATCATCAGCAAAGTCAAGGTCAGTAACCTTGATATTGCCCAGAGTTGCTCCACAGTAGCTTTGAACAGTAGCTCTGCCCAGTATCGAGTCCATGCAAAGGTTGAAAAGTGTTGGTGCGAGGACACAGCCTTGCCTCACTCCTAAACTAACAGGAAAGAAGCTCGACAGCCTTCTTGAGGTCAATGTAGGCTGCAAGCAGGCCACGCCGTAACTCACAACGGCGCTCTACAATGACTCGAAGAACAAGGATACGGTCTATTGTGGACTTTCTAGGAGTGAATCCAGATTACTCCGGCCACTGGTGCCTCAATAGGAGGTCTCTGATACGTCTCAGAAGGATGTGGGGGAGAACCTTGCCTGGTATACTGAGCAGTGTCATGTAACCCCCGCGCCATGGTTTAACCACCAGCCTTTAACAATTCAGCTGGGATGCCGCATATACCCGCTACTTTGCCATTCTTCAGTTTGGAGATCGCCTCCCTAACTTCATTTAGGGAGGGTGGACCCTCACTGATGGGTGGGTCCGAACAACGGAATCTCGGAACTCCCCGCAACCAAGTTCACTGCTGGTGGGTCAACCTGGTACAACTGCTCAAAGTACTCAGCCTAACGCTCCCGCACCACACCAGTATCTGAGGCGACCTGGCCACATATTAATAAGCGAACTGTTGTCACCTGTGACGAGGGCTTTGAGTTCAACTTTCTCAGGGCTTGGTATGCAGGACGAAGGTCATTTACTAAGAAATGACCTTCTAGTTCCTATGCAAAACTGATAAACTATTCCTTGTCCCTTCTTAACAATGACCGCGTTCTGCGCACCTGAGAACGGTGCAAATCCCGATTCCCTGTCAGACGACCCGCACAAGCATTTGTGGCTTCCAGTGTCTCCTGCAAGATAAAATTCTGTCTTTCTCTTGGGCGTTCATCAATCGACTCATGAGCTGCATCAAGCGTTTCGCGCATGAAGATGTCCCATGCAAGTACAGGGTCCGTCAGATTGTCGAGCGCAGTGAAGCGACCAGAGATTGCCTCAGAAAACCCCCGGGCAGAGTCCCTCTCCCTCAGCCTGTCCAAATGAAACAGCTTAGGGTGTTCATTGGACCTCTGGAGTTTTGAAGTGGACCGAATGGTAGCCACAACCAATCTCTGGTCAGCACCACAGAACTCAGCACTCCTATACACCCTGTAGTTCGGGAGGATCCTCCAACAAGTGCTAACGAGTATGTGGTATATATATTTATATATATATATATATATATATATATATATATATATATATATATATATATATATATGTATATGTATGTATATATATTATATATATATAATATATATATATATATGTATATATATGTATATATATATATATATATATATATATATATATATATATATATATATATATATATATATATATATATATATATATATTATATATATATATATATATATATATATATATATATATATTATATATATATATATATATATATATATATGTGTATGTGTGTCTATATGTATGTATGTATATATATATATATATATATATGTATATATATGTATATATATATATATATATATATATATATATATATATATATATATATATATATATATATATATATATATATATATATAATATTATATATATATATATATATATATATATATATAATATATATATATATATATATATATATATATATATATATATTATATATATAATATATATATATATATATGCTACCCCTGTGCTTTAAGCCCTGCCCCAGAAATTTAGGTTGGATTGTCAATCTGAAATTCTTTATGCTGATGACCTGACTATTTAGCAATCTGGAATTTTGGAAATCTAGCCTCAGATATAATGAAAATAGGGTAAATTTAAATAAGATAAAGGTTTACTGTCAGCAGAAAAGGGACTCCAGCAGATTGGTATATGGCCACATGGGCTTTGTACAACAGAAATGGGGAGTTCAGTTTCCTGTAGCACACTGGTTCCCAACCTTTTTCATTCTGTGGCCCCCAACAATATTTAACAATGTCCTTGCCCCCAGCCAGTGACTGTCCTCTTTTCAGATTCACTTATTACCATTTATAAATAGTGTAATGGTGTCAATAGCTATAAGACAAGAACATTTTATGGACAGATTCCAATTTATTGATGAGATATAATTATTTGTAGCTGCAATATGTGAGATAAAATTCAGTTTAATTCATTAATTAAAATTTTCATGTTGCTCCATGGCACCAAAAAAATATTCTATGCCCCCCAGGTTGGGAACCTTTGCTTTAGTACATATAAGCATTGCACCCATAAAGTGTTGTGGTATCAGGTAAGTAGGTATAGAAAAATTATAAGTTAACCCTTCAGCCCTGGGTTCATATATCATACAAAATTACTTCTTAAATTTTGTTGCACACATATAGCTTTGCATGTGCTCACCCATCAAGGAGCTCTAGTGACCACAACTGATTTCCCCCATCCCTAGATATTCTTTTTTCTTTAGCTTTTAAAATTGCAGTTATTATTTTCATGATTATTATATTCTCAAATTACTAATAGCATCAAATATAATCAAAGCAAATCTTTCCAAAAATCAAGGAAAAGGATAAACAGGTGTGATAGGTAGGACTGAGCACTTGTGGAGCCATCTTTGTAAACATAATGAACTAAAATTACAGTGTACATGGCATGTATTTAGTTCAAACAAGCCACTAGGTTAATAAGAGAATATCTGATGTATGAATAATCTATGAAAGTGATATGTATGCATCTATAAATGGAAGATGTGTTAAGGTTTGTATTAAGACATGTAGCCATATGTATCCCACATATTTGTGTTTATAACACTCACAAATGCATTCAAGCCAAGCCATGCAGTAGCAGCATCTAGGAAGTGGGTACTGAGGTATGCTGAGCCTCTACACTCTTTACTCCTATTTTAAAAAGGGTCACACATTTAGCCTCTCCTCACAGCATCAGAGTGAATGAAGTAGAGGAAAACCACAAACATAGTCTAATACTTGCAGGGCTGGATTTCTTATTGTTGAACACCACAAAATACAGAAACAGTTGACAAGTGTGGAAACCATGGCATAAAAGTGATGAATAATAGTATGTTTTAATTTCACTGATCATTTTCATCATCAGAATGTTAATACTCAAGCTTCGTTTTCTCTCAAACTTCAAATTACTGTTGAGAAACATAATCAACAAATCTTCTCAATGTTTCATTTACATTAAAAAAAAAATCATGCACATATTTTTTATAAAAAAAAGTCCTAAACATTTTTTTCATTTTTTTCAGACTTCAAAAAATCTTAAGAATGTGTTGAAGAAATAATTTTTAATATCTTAACCAAAATACAATTCCAAAGAACACTTGTGTAAAAATATTAATAAAAAAAATAATAAAAAAATACATGAACATGTAATCTTTAACAGCAAAGGTAAATAAACACAAAGTTTTAAAAAACTTTCATTTCTTATACTCATCCCACAATGTATAA